GGAGAAGAAGAAGAAGAAGAAGAAGAAGAAGAAGAAGAAGAAGAAGAAGAAGAAGAAGAAGAAGAAGAAGAAGAAGAAGAAAGAAGAAGAAGAAGGGACTTGTGCTTCAGGCAGCCCAGTTAAACCCCACCCTGTGCCCCAAGAGTCAACGTCCTTTATAGCAAGTTTGTGGGGAGAGACTTAAGATGCTAAGTTTAAAACTAAAGTGCTGTGGTCTCTACAGGCTGAGTATGCTAAAGAATGAAACTTTCACAGAGACAGCAGATTAGAGAAGTGGAAGGAATGAAAAATGAAGGAAATGTGGACCTAGAAGGTAACAGACAGTGAAAAAGAATTCAAGTCCATCGTTAGCTGGGTGTGCTCTCTCTGAGCAGCACCTAGGGCAGAACTAGCACAATAGGCTTCTCCTGGGTGTCACTGACTGACAGTGTGAATGCAGTGTAGAGCAGGCACATCTCTGAGCCACCATGGTTGGTTGCACTGATGTGGACACTGGCAGAATGGCACAGATGAATGGCTCACCTGTGTCCCCTTCTTGGGTTCGTCATAGTACTTTTTCTTCAGGTCTTTTACCTTCTGAAGAAAGAGACGGTAGCCCCCTGGTTTTGAGTAAATTCCTTGCTTCACTTCTTCTTCTAGGGGACTGAAAATACGCTTCAGTAAAGCTGAGCAATGGTCTGATGATGCTTGCTTATTCTGTTTACAGAAGTTATCACACTTCTCTTCTAGCTGGGTCTTTAATGCAAAAATAAGAAATAAAATGAAGAGCCAGTGAGATAAAACTTTTCATAGTATGGGTTTCTGAGGACACTTCTCAAAAATAATATGGCCCAAACTTTTTAATAAAGCTTCTTTGTAAGCTTGAACTTAACTGAAGTTCAATTTCTGAGCAGAGACTGTTAGCATTATGCCATATTTTAGAAGTAACCTTTAAATATTTCATCTTACCGCAATGATCGCATGGAATAAATGGACCTCAAAATAGGCCTTCAGTACATAACATAGAATAATATTTTGTTTGCATTTCTTGACTGTTGAACAGGGTAATAGTGTACACATAATTGATTAGAGGTTCTGCTTAGTAATCATATTATCAGTAATGATATGAATTTAGTTATAATAGCTAATCGTGAAAGTAAAATGTTTTGAAACTTTCAGTCCATAATAATACAATTGTTTCCTCTTCATATTATGATTATCCATTAGAAGCTCATATCATTTTGAAATCTATGATAAATTCCTTGCTCCAAACGAATACTTATTTCATTTTCTTGTAGTACTTTGCCTTCTCTAATCCTAATCAATATTATCTTGAGATAAAAATTTACGAACGGTCAATGACTTTTGAAACACGTGCTCAACATCTTTGAAGGAATGCTTCATGAAGATCTTGATGGCCTCCCTCTCACAGGCCCTGTGCAGGTCTAGCAGCTCCTGCAGGGTGTCTGTGGGCAGCTGCACCTTCTGGCCCATCTGCTGGTCATAGTGCGCCAAGGCCTTCTGCACTGCAGCTGTGTTCTCTATCTGGGCCAGGGCCAGGACTGCATTCTCCATGCAGGGCAGATCCCCACTGCTGATGGCACTGACGTAGGTCTGCACCAGGGTCTCTAGACCTGCATATGGAGAACAGGTTGCAATAATGTGTTACAAGCTGAGTGGAAAACGGTCTCCATGGTTTGTAATTCTGAGCTTGTCAGTTTCCCCCTATTTGTCTCAAAATGTCATAGGCATACTTACCGATGTGCTTGGTAATTCAGTAGAAATACAATACCTCTGGCTCTTCTCAGAACTACCTATTTTGACGTTCCTCATGAAGAGACCCCTGATGACATGTGTGAACTCTAAAGACTGAGATTTATGGATATATACTACATAGGACTGTTTATTAGATTTTTTACACCCAGTTTAACTCTATGGACCATTAGGACTGGAAATCAATTTTTTATTAATATCTCTGTTATCATCTTTGATAACAGCAAGCATTTGATCACTATTGATAGAACAGGAAATACTATCCCAATCAAAAACTGTTGCCCTTTGGTTTATTGAAAAGAACAGCATTATTCAAAAGAATACAGTAGACATTAGGCACCAGAGGATATGTGTTCTTGGAATATAGTCATGAAATGTTTTATTTTTTAAAATTAAATTAATTTTTTTTTTGGCAGAATGGGGGATTGAACTCAGGCCCTTGCACTTGCCAGGCAAGTGCTTATTGTATTGAGCTATCTCTCCGACCCCATTCAAATCAATTTAATTTAAAATTTAAATAACCATATTTTTCTAATGGCTACCGTAATGCAGACTGCTACTCTGGTTTACTTATTGAATTTTAAAGCAATAAACTTTTTCCTGTAGGCTTTTTCTCTTTTCCCCTCTAGCAATGTAATTAACAAAATGTATTAGAAAAGTTGAGGCCATTTATACTTCTTTGGAAGATTAGTACATATGCAAACTGAAACCAGAAACTAGATTTTTTTCTTCTTCTTCTTGTTCCTTAGTCTCAGGAATGAGTGAAGCTAACGGGAAGGGTACTCACGAGGTCCGTTGACCTGGATGCCTCCCAGTAGAGTTTTAGTCCTGGAAGAACTGAAGATGTAAGAGCAGAATTCTGCAACTTGTTCCATGAATTTCGGGTCCAGCTCATCCTCATGCAGTGTCTCCAGCTGGGCCAGCTTCTTTCGATGAGCGGATCTATCGAAGACAAAGCATTTCTTCTTTGGGAAGAACTTGCGGATGCAGAGTCGGGGGAGATTATAATTTTTAACTTTCTCACCAGTACCTGCAAGAAGATTAAAAAGGAGTTTTTCAACTGTAGGAATTTTGCAAATGTTCAAATAGTCCATATTTTTAGCCTCTCTCCTCTACACTCAACTCATTGCCTTAGCCTGGCAGTACCTGTAGGCAGTATGTAAATGATAGAGCTCAACATTTCCTAACAGCATCTATTTCAAGACAGAACATGGGGTCTCATTAGCTAGCATTTGTTTTTGGGCCATTGTTTTCCAAAATTTGGGCTACTACACTGAGGATACAACCTGCTTTAATCTATTTTGTTCAAGTATACATTAATTGCACTTGCCAACCTTTTTTTTTTTATATGTTAGGGAAGGGTCTACACAGTGTTCAGTGTCTCATTATTAGACCAAATTTATATTGATCCATCTTTTTACAGCCTCCCAAGAGCTAGGATTACAGGATTGTGCCACCAGACTCAGTCTTAATTGCTTTCTCAGCTTGCCCTTGGTGCAGGGCCAGCATGGCAGGCCCATGGAGTGAACCCTGGCCCCTGCACCTTGGCCATCCTTTGGATAAATGTGGAAACAAAAATGCTAAACACCAAGATAAATTTAAACTAAGCATAGCAACTGTGAAAGATAGAAACTTGTCTTTGAACATGAGAGAAATTATCTTAAAATTCAATCTATTGATTCTGATATCAAACATTGATTTCCAGGTGTATTTATTTAGAATAGAAAGCTCAAAATATACAAAAAAAACAAAACTATAATTCAAAAAGAATTAATTAAAAATTCCTAGTATTTTGATGCTCCCTTTTACCAATTGCACATCCATATTACCTTGCATTAGCTTCAGGGAATTCTCCAGGTAGGCATCTGGAGAGATGGACTCTCCATCTATTTCTAATACCAGGGAGAAATCTCTCAGGGTCCACACAAAGTCTGGGAAGAAGCTCACAAAGTCAGGTGAATCTTCTACTTCACTAGTGTTGGGTGAGGATTTTGCTCTGATTTGATCTGTCAGTTCAGTCACATAGCTGAGGCGCTAAGGAAAACTGGAAAAACCAACAAGACCCTTCACCCCATATTAGTTTGACAAATCCACAAACTTTTATTTTATGTTTGTCCTTAGCCTAAGTGTCATTGCTTTAATAGGTGGATAATGTTTCCTATATTACTGCTTCTGTCTTCTCTTACTGGTTGGGTGTACCATGGTTTAGAGCTGTGGGGCTGGTTTACTCCCACAGGTCTCTCCTCCTGGACCACATAAAGGATACTGCAGTTGGTCCATGGCCTGCTGGCTGATGGCTCCCATGCTGTTATACACAAAGGTGCTACTCAGCAGAATCGCTAGGGCGAAGATCGAGGAGTCTTTCTGATTGTCACCCTGGAAGGCAGAACACATTTAGGCCTGAAGAATGTTTTATTCTTGTGTCAAGCTGCAGATAGGCAGGGGCAAATGGATCATTGTGCAATTAGAGTTTTGAGAGTAATTGCATAGAAACCTAAATTGAACTAAAACATCTATAAGGTCAAATTTTGAATATTTTTTGACTAATATTTGATTTATACTTTTTACTCTCCAGTTTCTCTTATGATTATTGTCAGCTAAGTGAACAATAGTGAATGTTCATAGTATTTCTTTTTAGTTCCCTAGATTTATAATAAAAATCATAAAATGCTTCTTAGGAAATTGCACAGCATTCTGCATACTGCTTTGAACAGCTGTCAGGGACATGTGGATTACTGTCACTTTCCTCCCTGTTCCATCCTCAACTGTTTGCAGTTACCACACAAAGCAATGTCTTTACAATGGTCACATGGTAGAAAGTTTTTAAACCACCAGCAATGAATGCACAATAAAATCCACTCTGTTTTGTTTTAAAATTTCAATTTTGGGTTTTGCATGTCTGTCCCTTCCCTGTTTGTGAGGAACTTAAATATTACATCAGGTGAAATCAAAGATTTCTCTACATCTGAAATGCAGAACACCTAAGAAGCAGAGGAAGGTTGGCTTTTTATTTTATTTTTGGTTTCATTTCTTTTTATATTTGTAATAACTTTTCTTGATCAAAATTGCATGCTTATATCTGGAACTATGAACAACTAATTTGAATACAACAATATGCAATACAACTGTTGTTGAATTCCTATCATTTTGTTTAATGTAATTCTGTATCATTTATTTTTTTATTTTATTCATTCATTGTAATGAGAAAAGAAGATAAAATAGCAATGAAAGAGTTTCAAAACAGGCTAGTAGGACAGTTACAATAATTACTATGTTTCATATTGTCTTCATAGTAGTTATTCAGAGGATAAGATACAGACATGATACATTGTCTAAACAACTTAGCACAAATTTTATTCTCAATTAAGTAAGAGAAAGCAGGTGTACATCTATCCTATCTCTCTTGTGTGTACATATATTTATCTATACATTTTTTCTTTTTTTTCCACAACAGAATAGTCCTTTATTTACACTTTTGTGAAGTTAGTAGCACATGACACTAGCAACTGATAGCTAACCTTAACCAGAAAGAATGCTCATCTCAGGAGTGAGATAGCTTGTTTGCTTTAGGCACTAGGCCAAGTTACACCTACACATATTTGATTGATTTTGTAGCTTCATGGCTCCCAACATGTTCCCTCTTTTCAGTTTGTTTTTCAGAGATGGGTGTTCCATTTCAGTTAGAGAAATTGTATTTGGGGAAGTCTTCAAAAACTGTTTTCATACTTGAAGCCAGTCTAAAGATTGGAGGCACTTGAATTCAGCAAAATAACCCAATATAGTCTAATAGTCCATAATATGAGTGTGTTATCAGTAGAACTGTCCATTGTCAGAAGTTGTTTACTTGAGTCTTTTATAGTTCAGCATATTAATATGGCATTCCTTTTTATACCTCATATTTATACTTTTCTGTTGGATGTTTAAGACCCAGTTAAAGCAAGGCCTTATAACTAAAAATGTAACTTTCGTATCTGATAAGGTCAGTCATGTCCTTTCAGGATTTAGCCTGAAACCATATACAGCACCCTGTAGATCTTTTGTTAGTGTCAGCCATGTGGATGAGTCATGGCCATTGGTTGACTAGTTTGCTTTCTGTGATAGCCTGAGAGAAATTTTTCTCTCTAGGTGACTCTCCTTAGGCACACTATACATTGTTGATCACTTTCCTCTGTGATCCCAAAATTTCCTTGATTAGAAAATTTGACATCACTGAGTTATATGACATCACAGCAGAAGTTCTTTTATGTCCTGAGTCCTCACTGACCTTGAAGGGCTAGGGCCAAAATATTGGCTATCCTTGTAGCCCCTCTATTTTTCTAAGTTTTGGACAGCAAACTTTAGTTGTTAAACATCCAGCACAGATGCTTAATGATATTATTACCCTGTAACCCATGCAGTTGTGTTTAACATCACTATTTGTCTGAATATCAAACACATTAGACATAACATGGGACTGCTGTTTTCCAACAATGGTTATTCTAAAGATTAAATCTCTATAGAATGTAAAAAAATTACACATTTTTATACAGAAATTTAGAAATCAATCCATATACAAAATTGTAGTAAAACAATCCTATGACTTTTTTTTTCCTTGTTTCTTGTTTTCTTTTACTACCTCTTTATTTTTTACAATCATTTTTTTAAAAAGAGAGTATAGAAATAATTGATATGACATTAGAAAGAGTAATCATTTGGAAGACTAAAATGACATGTGTTTTAAGCATGGATTTATTTATTTATTTATTTATTTATTTATTTATTTATTTTGGCAGAACCAGGGATTGAACTCAGGCACTTGTTAAGCATATTTTTAGTATTACATATTGCTGTCTTCAGTTTAGTTGCTTAGCTCACAGATTTCAGCATATAGTTTTAGTTGGGGTAAGAATTCAACCCATTAACTGCTATGTTCAAAAACCTTATGGAGATTCTTAGGACCATTGCATTACCCATCTTATTTATATAAATGTATAGTTTTGCCCCTAAAGGCTGGCTTTTTAAACAGAAGCAGATTAAAATAAAAAAATACAGAGGACTCCTTCAAGTTCTTCACTATCTTAGGAAAACTTTCCAGAATACTGCCTCATACTGTAAGAAAGAAAAAATCTCTTGCATTAGAATCCTTCAACACCTGCAAACAGCTGCACACCGTCCTGTAGCCAACATTGTGCATTCTGTACCTGGTTCTGTGTTTCTCTAATGTTAATGATCTGATCCTTGGATCCTCCTAAAGGCTCATCAGTTTTCATAAAAGTTCCTGATTTATGATTGATTTGTATCATCTGCTACCTCCTTTGCCAATATTAGATCCTGCCCAATATTTGGGAATATATTGTGCAGTGATAATAGCAAGTCAATCATCTCCTTGGTATTTCTCATTGTTTTAAATGCTTGTTCCTCTTCCATGTCTTCTGTAGGATGTCTACCAAATTCACTGTTAAGTCAGTGCTGGGGAAAGTTTCCTCTGGATTCTCATTTTCCATTATCTGGTATTATATGGAGACATCAAACAGTTACTCTATACCTTTGCAGAGCAGAACTGTAGTGTTCTGAGAATTAATAACTGATAGCCTAGAGATGCAGGAGCCAGGAGAGTCTGCCTTCCTTCACTGCCCCACCGTATAGGTGCCTGGAGCCAGGCAAAAAGGAAGCACAGCTAGATTCTTAGGTCTCACAGAAAGTTTAAATTTAAGCATTTCTCAATTTTAATAGCAAAATATATTTGTAGGACACATAGACCCTGATTGTGTGGTGCCTGATTGTAATGCCACCTGCATGCAAGACAGAGACAGGTGAATGAGTTCAATGACAGCCTATGAAATTGAGTGAGACCCTTCCTCAAGATAAATGATAAATAAATAAGGGGTTAGGGACATAAGCCAATGTTAATGTGCAAAACTTTGCAATCCCTTCGACTGCTTAAATAAATAAATATTTAATTAAACAAATAAATGTGCATTTATAGTACTTGTAGCTCTTTTATACCAATTATTACATGCCATAATGTTTCTCATTTATTAGATGTTTAACAGAATAGTAGGCAGTATATGTAATGATGTCACATGTATTTGACATACAAGAAAGCTGAAGCTAATGGAAGATAAATTACTTACTAAGTGCACCAAGCTAGAACTAGATTTCTAATTGAAATATAAAGTCACAAGGCTTCAACACCCAACTCCTTAAAGTCTGCTGTAGGATAAGACTCTTGACACTGAGTATATTTGTGCTTTCTTTTTCCATATAGGATCATTTGCTTTGTTTATAGATTGTGGCTGATACTCTGAACATCATATTAACCATGTTGCTTTTCTGCAAGGATTCTGACTTATAAATATGTTTCTGATTTCTGCCTGATAAACTGAGTCTCTGCAAAGTAAAGAACAAATGAAAACATATAATATGTTTAAACACAAACAAACAAAAAAAACCACCCCTGCTTATTGTAGTGAATTTTCTCAGATGAGGAGCTCATCCAAACTGGAACCATCCATCCTTACTTTCTCAACATCTCCCAGGCCCTCGGTGTCCAGCAGGACTAGCGCACGCTTCGAGTCCTTGGGGTGAGGCACGCACCACATCCAGACTCCTTTGGTGTGAGACTGCACTGTGGCCCCCAAAGAGAAGCCTGCTGAGCACAGAGGAGATGAGAACCAAAACCTCAGGCAGCAATGACCATACTTACCATGAGGCAATCAATGGAAATTGTTATCTGACAAAAGAAAAATATTGAGCAGTTTCATGATAAGAAAACCATTCACCATGTCAGCACACTGGTACCATTCTTTAATCCTAATTGCAGAGGAGGCTGAGGCAGGAGAATTACCACCTTAAGGTCATCCTCATAAGCCTATTGGAAGTTGGTTTCAAATTAAAATTTCACAAAGGCTTGGATGAGTAGTTCAAATATAGAGATCTTTGCAAGTGTGCTTGAGAGTTTAGGTTCAATCTTCAGTACCGAACAACAACAACAAAAAGGCTGCTGATGTAGGAATGCAGTTTAATCCTGGCAGGGTTTTATCTCCAGTACTGACAAACACTCAAGAAACTTGGAATAGAAGTAAACCACTTCTGCTCAATAATGGTCACCCATGAAACTTCATAGGCAACATCATAGCCAGTGGCAAAAACTGAAATTTTCCTCTAGGATCAGAAGTAAGAAAAAGGAGAAAGGCCTGCTTGAATTGAATGGTGATCTGAAAGTTGTATCCAATGTAATTAGGCAAGAGCAGGAAATGCAAGGTACCGAAATTGGAAAGAAAAGTAAAAGCATAGACAACAAATAAAAAATACAGCTTCTTAGATTTCTTCAAAATTGAAAAATTTCTCCATCAAATTTTACCTTCACAATAGAGAAAAATGCAATATGTGGAACTATGGAACTGGAGAGAATATTTGACAGACATGTACCTGATAAAGGGTTGATATTTGCAATATATCCCGTTCCTCCAATGTTGCATAAATAACCAGACTTAAAAAATGAAATATTACATGAGTAGGCATTTGTATAAAGATGATATTTGAATGGCCATGCAGCACAGGGAAAGATGTTTAACATTATTAGTTATTCAGGGAACTCTAAGTGGAAACCACGTAATACTATTTTGTACCCATCCACTATCACAAAAATGAAATGAGCAAAACCAAACGGAAAAAAACCCCAAATAACTGCAGAGTATGGACAATTAGTACATTTGTGCACTTTTGATGGGAACATAAAATGGTGCAGGCAAGCTGAAGAGTGGATAGTGATTACTTAAGAAATTAAATTAATTACTGTGTGACCCAGCACCATGACCCTTGGTGCACTCAGAGACACTTCAGGTGTGGACTTGAATCAGCCACTTCACATGCATGTGCCCATCAATATTGTTCCTAAAGCAGAAATGTGAAATAAAGCTACTGTCCATTTAAAGGAATAGATGGAGAAATTTGTATGCAGTTTTCAAACATCATGCAGCATTAAGAGAAAGAAAATTTTGACAAATGTGACACCGGGGAAACCCAAAGACATCCCACTAAGTCAAAAAACAACAGTCACAGAAGCACACAATTTCGGATCCCACAAGCATGCTGTGTGGAAAACAATCAAATTCTTAGAGCAAGGACCTAGATCGTGGTGGGGATGGTGCACAGGGAGTTGGTCAAAGGAGGCAGAGCTCCTCTTGGGGAGGAGGAGGGTGATCTGGAAAGGACGCAAGTGGTGACTGCACAAATGTGTGATCTTACTTAGTGCCAGAAACTGATCACGTAGGAATGATACAAAATGTGTATTATGTAAATATTAAGCAACAGAAAAAATGTAATATGAATGAAACTTTTATATTTTTAAAAGACAGTGGGAACTGGTTCTTACTATATGAACATCTTCATAAGAACCTGAGAGTTTACTATCATGCAAATTAATATTCATATAAATAATAATAAACAATAATAACAATAACAAAGAAATGATTAGGAAAAGAGTGATTTATGCTTTCCAAGGGGAAGCTAAGGCATGCCAGGGAGAGCTGGTAAACCCACTCTCATCCCCTAGAGCCCAGTGAAATGAAGTTGATAATCTCATTAGTGGCAGATTAGCTGGCAAAACCTCCTGGGATCATCTCCCCTCCCCACCCCCATGCAGGATGCTGGCAGTGGGGGTGGTCAGGGATCCGCAGAGCCCTGCTGGCAGCACTCACCCTTTTTCTTCCCAGCCAGCTTGTTCATCAGGTAGGATTTGCCTGTGCGGTACAGGCCCACGATGGCCACGACCACGACGGGCTGGGAGATGGCCGACAGGATCTCCAGAGCTTCCTGATTCACCTTCAGCTGTCCTTTCACATTTTCAATGAGGCACAGAGGGCCTGGCATGTAGGTCTCAGAGGCCATGTCCTGTGAGTAGTCCTCTGGTTACAAGGGCACATGTGGAAAGAGGCAGAACTTGCAGTATTAGTGCTGAGAAACTGGATTGATGAAATTCCCCTGCGTGAACAAACAAACAAGTACTGTGTGCATCTCTCTCTCTCTCTCTCTCTCTCTCTCTCTCTATATATATATATATATATATATATATATATGTATTTGGTACATGGTTTCATTATGCAGCCTGGATCCGTAGAGCTCTTCCTGTTTTCAGCCTCCTCAATGCTAGAATTACAGGAGTGTGCCACTATGCCTGGACTTGGTGGCCTGGGGGTGGTCTGTCCCTGTGCTTGCCTAAGCAGGCACTTGGTCTACTCAGCTGTCCTGCAAGTCATTCAAACAGTTCAATTTCAAAAAAGTCATAACAATTGTTTTACATCAATATTTACCTGCTTTCACAACCCAAAGCTTCCACTGAACTTATTGTAGAAAGTTTCTTTTTGGATTCAGATTAATAAACAAACAAAAGTTTACAGAGACAATAAATGGAATGCATGATAGTATTTAAAGAATTTTCTTCCATTCTTTGTATATATAACAAATCAAATACTGCCCATTCGTTCATTATTGTAATGAATAAAGCCCTTCCTGAATACATGGTTCACAGCTTGCTGTATGCCTTTTGGACAATTTTCAGGGATTTTGAAATGTGATCTTCCTTCCACCGCTAGGGGCTATGCTCATTTCACTGGAATAGGATACACAGCATTTCTCACCCTGCCTTCCCAGAAGGGCAAGCAACACGCTGCTTCTGCAAATTGTATGTAAACAGCTGACCATGGGTGTGGGTGCCCAGAAGTAGGGGACTTGCAGGGATTTGGAGGGGCACAGGCAGGTACCCGACACTAGGCTCTCTGATCTTCACAATGACTGAGAGTGAATTCAGGGAATTATAAGTGCTCAGTCACAAGCACTAGATTTTGCTAAAATTTTTGACATAGTAAGAATTATGAAAACAGGAATCACAAGAAGAGGACTAGAGAAAGAATTGTCCTAAGACATGTTTTATGAAAGTGCTATTAGGTCTTCTTGTTTTCTTTGTTTTTGCTTGTTGTCCTTTGTTAGAAGAGAGGAAGGGGAAAATATGAAGGGAGGAAGAAAAGGTATGGAGGAAGCAGGGGTGAAGAGGTGGCAGGGAGATTGGGCCACAGATAGATATGAGAAATGAGGTGAGCTCCTGCCAAGGAAGTCAGGGCAAGAGCTCCTAGAAAGCAGGAAAACTAGGTGAGGTCAGGAGATTGTGTTGGAAACAGAGGCCTCTCTAAGGCTGCACTGGGAGACTATTGTAGGGGAAGCACTTCAGTGAAGTACAGTGGCTCAGATCTGCTGGTGGAAGGAAGGAACACATGAACCATGAGTGGCAGTCACTGCATTGTACCACCGATGAAGGAAGACAGCCTGCAGGAAATTTGGGTGCCTGCTTAGCAAGGAGGCTGCTCTTGTGATCTCCCTATGTCATGCTGAGTATTTCTCTCTCTTTGCCGTTAACAGTGACAATGGCTGCTCAACTGTGTCTCATTTCTGTGCTTTCCTTCTGCAAAGCAACAGCCTTGTAGCCTCCTTGTTACCCCCACAGTGCAGCAGGAGAAGTTGTGTGCCAGCACATCAGGACTGCAGAAACCTGTGCTCCCAGTCCACACAAAGCCAACAGACAGAACCTCTGCTTTTTCCCTGTCTGTGAGTACACTCAAAATAGCTCCAAGCTCTCACAGTTCTGATAGTTTTTAAGAAAAAAAAACAAACTGTGAGCCCTGAGCAGAGCTCCTTCAGAGCTGGAAATGCTGGCAGAAGGGAAGGCAGGTTCTTACCTGCTCTCCTTAGTGTGGGCGGCTTGGCTTCTCTCTTCTCTGCTTCTGGCTGTGCTCTGTCATTCTGACTACTGTTTGCATGCATGGACAAATATAAAACTAGCAAGCTTTATGACCAATTTAGTGGAATGTGAAACTGAAAGTACTTAGTTAGAACAAAGGGTCAACAAAAATAAGAATTTTTGTAGCTATACCAGAGGCAAAGTTTAAAAAGACATTACATTTCTTCAAGTGACTTGTTGCAAGAATTTCTAGAATGCATTTGCTGTTTTTAAAACTGTCTCTTAACTATAAAACATACTGCAATATTGCTCAAGATTGGGCCTTGTTTGAGCATACTGGAGTGGGGAGACAGCATATTATCTTTAAAGTATAAACTCCAAAAGTAACAAGCTACCATCACAGTGGAGTTGGTTATTGAGAAGTGCAGTGCAGGAAAGGGCCTGCAGTGCTGTCCCTGAGCACTCAGCCCTTGGTTCTGATGCTCACTGCACAGTCGGGAGGGCTCCCTTCATGGTCCAGGTGTTCCGGTGGGGCCATCGCTGCACGTGGAATACATGTCTTAAATCTCACAAGAAACATTTCCCATGATGGATAGAAACTGAGGTACAGAGAGGCCAAGTCAGTTGTCTCAGCTCACAGCCCTGTAAGTCTCCTGAATGCCAGCAGCCTGGACCCCCATCCCTGAGCCACCTCACTGTGCTGCTTTGCTTTTCCTTATTAGTTATTGTGTAAAATTTGCTATATTTTCTTTAAAATCAAGCCTGATTCAGTCATTTGAAAGAAACTGGTAGTCTCTTTTTAAATTTTTTTATTCATTTTAGTGGCAAAAATAGCAATGAAGCAGTTTCTAAACAGGTTAGTAGGACAGCTACAATAAATAATGCATTGCATATTGTTGTCTTCATAGTAGTTATTCAGAATACAAGATGCAGGCATGATATATATTTTTTTCAAACCAAATTAGTAGGACAGTTTCAATAATTAACACATTGCATGCATTCTTTTTAGTGGTTAATTGCTGTACAGGATGCGGACTTGATATCCTATTTACAAACACTATTAGAATAAATGCCTCTATTGATAAAGAGAATACAACTATATATCAATCCTAACCATTTTGAATACACAGGTACAAAATGAACATACATCTGTATCTCCTTTTTTTTTTTTTTGCTATGTTCTGTTATTTGAATATTATAGGTGTGTTAACTCAGCAAATTATTCTAAAAGAGTTCAGTAGTCCATAACAGTATTTGGTCCTCCACTTCACTGGCAATGTCAGAAATTGTTGACCTGAGTCCCCTACAGCTCAACATAACAGCATGGCTTTACTTATTATACTTCGCTTTATACTTTTCTGCTGAATTGTTAAGACCAAGGTGAAGCAGGACCTATGTAACAAGAGTTGTAGCTTTTGGGTCTGGTAAGGTCAATGAAATCCCCTCAGGATTTATGCTGAGATCCTGTACCTCAGATTATAAAACCTTTGTTAGTGTCAGCCATGTGGATGAGTCACAGCCATTGCTTGACCAATGTGCTCTCTGTGAAAGCCTGAGAGAATGCTTTCTCTCCATGTGACTCTCCTTAGGCACACTCTACATCATCAATCACTTTCCTCTTTGGCCCCATAATCTCATCGATCAGAAAATTTGGGACACTATAGAGTTACATGACGTGACTGTACAAGTTCTCATATGTCCTGAGACTTAATTGACCTTGGAAGAAGGCTAGGGCCAAAATGTTGGCTTTCCTTGCGGCCCTCCTTTTTCTCTAATTTTGGTCTGCAAACTTAGGTTGTTAACCTTCCAGAAGAGAAGCTTATTGTTATTACCATACAACCTAGGTTGTTAACTTAACCTCACTATTTGTCTGAATATCAAACACCTTAGGCATAACATGGAACAGATATTTTTCATCAAGTTTTGATATGTTGAACTTTAGGTCCCTACAGAATGCGATGAAAAAAACATTTAAAAATTGGAATATATTTTAAAAATAGGCATAAAAAGTTATATAATTCTTATAATCAATTATAATTA